TCTCTATGAGTTGGAGGCCAACCTGTTGTACATAGTGAGTTCTAGGTCAGCCAAGACTACCTAGAGGGACACTGTCTCATATATATATATATAATAAGTCATATTTTTTTTTTGTTTTTTCGAGACAGGGTTTCTCTGTGGTTTTGGAGCCTGTCCTGGAACTAGCTCTTGTAGACCAGGCTGGTCTCGAACTCACAGAGATCAGCCTGCCTCTGCCTCCCGAGTGCTGGGATTAAAGGCATGCGCCACCACCGCCCGGCTAAGTCATATGTTTTTTGATATAGGAGTTCTCTGTATAACAGTCTTGGCTGTTTTCCTGGAACTAGCTCTGTAGATCAGGTTGGCCTCACACTCACAGAGATCTGCCTGCCGAGAGCTAGGATTAAAGGTGTGTGCCACCATTGCCCGGCAAATATACTTTTTTTTTTTTTTTTTTGGTTTTTCGAGACAGGGTTTCTCTGTAGCTTTGGAGCCTGTCCTGGAGCTAGCTCTTGTAGAGCAGGCTGGCCTCGAACTCCCAGAGATCCGCCAGCCTCTGCCTTCCGATTGCTGGGATTAAAGGCGTGCGCCACCACCAGCCACCACAGCTCGACAACAAATACACTTCTTAAAAAGTAAATAAAATGTAAAGTTAAAAGAGAGTCTGATGACATACATTTAGTAGTAGATCATTCTTAGCATGTGGGACCCTAATTAAAATAAAGAGAATGAGGTTGGGGTTACAGCAGTGGCAAAATCATGCATAGAACTAAAGCCATGTGTTCTATCCAAAGTGACACACAGAAAATGGAAGAATATAGAATTTCAGGAAAAGGATTAAAGGAATATTACTACTTATTGTGTGTCGGGGTCCAAATCCCCAACATAAACTATTTTTCCCTCTCTGGACTGGCTTGGAGGGGCGGGAATAATTGAGACAAAGTTCACACAGCAATATCAGAAGTGAGTCTCAGGGTTCATTCAAATCCTGAAGATCACCTGCATTTATCATCCAAACACCTTTTATCCCCCAAGGTAAACTGAGGTGAAAGTTCATTGACATTCTGTTTTCTGGGTAGCAGGACTAGGTCATGTCTGTAGCTCTGTCACTAGCTTGGAATTGACACCTATTCTCAGGTGATCAACATAATGACAAAGCAAGGAGCAGCATAGCCTGAGCTTTTGTTAGGGTAGTGACAGCCTATCTGGGAGGGTGTGTGCTCCAGATACTAACTATGGCCTGAGAGCCCCAGCTGTCACGCTATGTAAAAATATGGGTCTACAATTGTGAATATCTGTTAATCTCTAAAAGACAAATTTTAACTGTGCTTCTTTTGGGGGGATACCGAATCCTGCTATGTAGAGCAGGTCAGTCTTGAACTTGTGGTGGTCTTCTTGCTTCTGCCTCCGAACGGCAGGGTTTACAGGCATGTTAACCGCCCTTCATTGTAGAACTAAGCCTTTTTTTTTTTTTTTTTTTTTTTTGGTTTTTCAAGACAGGGTTTCTCTATGGTTTTGGAGCCTGTCCTGGAGCTAGCTCTTGTAGAGCAGGCTGGCCTCGAACTCCCAGAGATCCGCCTGCCTCTGCCTCCCGAGTGCTGGGACTAAAGGTGTGCGCCACCACCGCCCGGCCAGAACTAAGCCTTTTGCAGGACCAAAATGCTTGTTATGTTTTTAGAAAGGGTATTCTTATGTAATACTAACTTGTCGTGTACTTACCAAGCATCTGCGGTTGTCATGGAATTGCTTATACTCCTGCTTCCAAATCCCAAATCCTGGGATTACATGTGTATACCCCAATAGCCCAGCCACCTGGAACTCTGACTTCTTTTTTTTTAAATATTTATTTATTTATTATGTATACAATATTCTGTCTGTGTATATGCCTAGAACTAAAGCCATGTGTTCTATCCAAAGTGACACACAGAAAGGCCAGAAGAGGGCACCAGACCTCCTGACAGATGGTTGTGAGCCACCATGTGGTTGCTGGGAATGGAACTCAGGACCTTTGGAAGAACAGGCAATGCTCTTAACCATTGAGCCATCTCTCCAGCCCCCTTTTTTTTTGGTTTTTTGAGACAGGGTTTCTCTGTGGCTTTGGAGCCTGTCCTGGAACTAGCTCTGTAGACCAGGCTGGCCTAGAACTCACAGAGATCCACCTGCCTCTGCCTCCCAAGTGCTGGGATTAAAGGAACTCTGACTTCTTTGTTTCTTTTGAGACAGTGTTTCTCTGTGTAGCCCTGCCTGTCCTCGACCTCACCCTGTAGATCATGCTGGCCT